ATTTTCATATGGTTGTCACAGGTTTAAAGACCTCCAGTGACAGAGAATCTAATTGCGCTAAAATTCTTGTCTAGCTTCAGACAATAGAGCAAAGACCAGCAGAATTATACAGGTTCAGAGAATGAACAATAGGTCAACATCAATTTTTCATAGATCTCAAGGTGGAGGAAGAAAAGCAGCAAAACATTCTGTCTTCAAAAGAAACAGACTATCCTGCTAAGAAACACTCCCTTCTAATTGATGCTTCAAGCTGCTCATTTTTATTTCACTTTGTGTCTTAGGTTGGCACTTAGGTCACTGACAATGCTTCTACTTCACAAAAATTTATACCTTGAGATAGATGGAGGCCGTTTAAACTGGGGAAGTGATATTAATCTTACATCTCAAGCTCTTTCATTCTTTTTTCTAAATCCTTTCCTCATTGCTGCAAATCCCTAATCAGAAGCCGTATTCTGTATTTTCTAGTATTGCACTGAATAACTACGTCAAAGCCTTTCTGCTGAGGGACTGCCCGGAAATTTAATGGAGTATATCTTAAATGCAGGCCAATAGGGCCAAAGGACATTCACAGGAATTAATGCGGGTTGTAACATATGCATTTTCTGTCTTCAATTCCTTCCTAATGGAAAGTAAGTGAAACATTCAACTCTGTACTAAGGTTTAACAAAAAAGTATCAATTACCATCTTGTGAGCATGATGGCACTACCCACCTAATTAAAAACACTACGGTGTGAAATGACAGGCAAGACACTACATTTTACACCATTTCTTATCCACTCACACACTAAATCTCTACCAGTATGTATTCAAAAAAAAAAAAAAAAAAAGTATCTGGAACGGAGTATCAGAGAAAATCTATTTGCTTGACTGCTGTAAACCAAAACCTGTGAAGAGATTTATTCTCTTAGAATTCAGCAGTACTTGTGAGTTGCTAATTTAATACCAGAAATTCTCATAGATTTTTGTTTTTTCAACTGGTTCATCACTGGAGATCTAAAACAGACCAGACTGAACATCTTGACAGAGGTATGCCTAGTATATTCTGTCTATACAGAAACTGAATATTCAATATGGCTTGAGGTAAGAGGGAAAAATTATGAGCCTCTGTGGCCCTCACCCCAAGGCAGATAAAATCAAAGCCAACACTAATTTAGGAAGATGATATGAACAAGTGTTTTAGTAAGACCTGATATTTTACCTCTCCAACTCCAAAATCTTTCTGAAACAGACTGAAGTAGGACCTCATTACATACACACCCTATCTGCTTTCAAAAGAGTTACAGAATGGTTGAAGAAGAGGTTTGCCCTCTACTATATTATGTTTTTCCATGAAAACTAGAACACTTTTTTTTTTCCCCATTTGCTACACAGCCTTTATTTCACCACCTTTCATGGCTTTGGCATATAACACATACATCATGAAACCATGCCTCGGCCATGCTTCATGCTTTGCATGGACAGCATTCTTTCAGTGAGGATATTATTTTCCTTTTTGCCTATCCATGACATTGTTTTAAAAGTAATAACAGTGTGGAAACTAATGCAATAACATTCTAAAACTTACAGCTTGAAACCTGTTAATTTGGTAAGAACACAAAAGTCCAGACTCATGATAAAACTGCAGCACCACTGGACAGGCATGTACAAGATTTTTTACTGAGGACAAAGATGTATTATTTTCCAAACAAATGCATTCTAGAGACTTGCTCATGATTTTGCATTTTATTAAATACCCAATAAAATATTTAACGAGTGTACATTTAATCCCAGTGTCTATCAAATCCTGTCAGAGAGCTGTTCATTTTCTAACAATACAACAGTAAAGCAAAAGTAGTATTTTATAGCTGGAATGATCTATCAGTTCAGTGTTACATAACATGCTACGATGGGATGGCCAGATGAAATCCTGTAAAAACTGCATTTTTGCTATGTTGGATGTGAAGTGCGCTCTCTCTGATGTGTCAGTATTGCAGATTTTCATTAGTGCTGAAAACAGCAAGTACTTCTTGCGCTCATCCAAAACAGTTCCCTGGGTTCAAGCAGCATAAAGTCCAAAAATAGAAACGCTTCCCAAATAACCTATATTTGGATGACTTTGGTTTGATTATGTGACCCTGAGGACACCACAATACATCTTCCCTCCCCTTGCTTCTGTCTACAAGCAGCATCCTTTTTACAGATAAGGAGCAAAGGATTCTTTTTGCTGCAAGGAGCACAACAAGGACACTTGTGAGCACACCAACAGAAATGCTGACCCAGAGTTGCACTGGATGTAGAGAAAATGGCTGGCTTGTCTAGGGAGATCACAAAATATTGCCAGATCACAGTTCTAACCCATCTTCATGGGGCTACAAATTTATATCGTCTATTATTTTGGGTATGTCTGAAAAAAGTGTGGTATATGGGTAGTTCAGGAGAGAAAGGGAGAGGAGAAGGACAGGCGACAAATCGGTTTCCTCCAAGGCTTATCATTTCTCTAAGCATTTCTTAACCGTGACTCCACACAAACAGTGACACAGACCAAGCTCGCCTCCCCTCCTCCGCCTGACAATAAAAGCGAGCAGCACAGCAAGGTGGTGACACCCATTTCTAAAGGGAAAGTGCTCTTGATTTATAGGTGACTTCATAAGAAATTGCCTAGCGTAAAGTGGATTTCCTATTCTATTGTCTTAGGGAGTAATTGGATCTGCTGTTTACAAACGGAGGAGTAAAAGCACCTTTCCAGTCACATTACCACAGCAACCCCTGCACAAGGCTGCACACCTCACCCCTTCCACGGGGACAGTCCGCCCTGCGCCTCCCTTCTCCCTTCCCTCACTATCCTGCCCGCTCCCTCGCGGCAGGGAGCGAGGAAAAGCTGCCGGGAGGCCCGTGCCCGAGAGCGGCGGGCCCCGCGCCCGCACCCCCGGCCCTCTCAGGGGCTGCCGCCCGAGCGCGGCCGGCCGAGCCCCGCGGCCACAGCGGGGCATCGCGGCCCCGCCCGCCACCGGCACCCGGCAGGATGGAGCAGAGCCCGGCCGGCCCCGCTCCCCGCAGCGGCGGGCCCCGATCTGTGACCTTGCGGAACGGAAGGATCGCCGCTCCCGAGCAGCCCCGCCGCGCACGGCCGGACGGCTGCGGCGGAACGCGGGGCGGGCGGGGATGCCCCGGCAGCTGTCCGGGTGCGGGGCACTGCAGGCAGCGCCGCCGGCTGCGCTCCCAGCCCGACCCACGCGTAGCGGCGGTGGGGCAGGCTCCGCTTCTGACATGTGCACGCACCCTGCCGCCTGGGGCACCGGCACCGGCACCGCCCGCCCGGCCAGGCCGCCCCGCTCACCTGCACCAGCAGCACCACCGCCGCCGCCACCGCCGCTCTGCCCGCCCCGCCAGTTCCGCATCGAGCGCCAGCAGCGGGACGTGCCACTACAGCCCGCGGGGGGGCAGGGAGGGCGGGGCGGAGCGAACCACTCGCCCTCATGGCGGGGGGAGCCGCCTCGCCAGCCTCCCGCAGGGGGCGCTGCGGCCGCTGAGCCGGCGGGAGGGAGGCGGGATGGGGGGTGGGAAACAGCCCTCCGGAGCAGCCTGAGTGAGGAGAATCGGGAACGTTTCAGCCTGTACCCTGTACCCTCTGTATTGAGCTACTTACTTGCTGGTTCGCTACAGGCTTCATGAGATTACAAGAGAATTTGGTTATTAAACGCTTGAGAGACAGCTTTTTTAATTCCTTCCAAACTCCCATAAACCACTGTGCAACCAAATCCATTTACTAACAAAACAAAAATTTCCAAAATAAACTCAAAATGCAACCACAAGTACCACACTAACCCAATAGTTTACTTATCTATGAAGTGTAAAATGGTGAAATAATTTATTTGATATTCACAGAATCATCAAATACTGCCTATATATCAACTCATGCCTTTTCTACTTTTTACCCTTCAGTTGTCTCCCCAATCCCGCCGCTGGTGGGGGCTGTGTGTGGCTTGGTGGCTGGCTGGGGTTCAATCATAACACAGAGCCAAGGAAAATCACTGTTTTCACCAATGCCACCCACGGCAATGTTATAGATCGTACCTTGAAAATCCCTCAAATTTATATGCAGGTTTTCTCTTCAAATTAAGGAGATGCAGCTCAAAATAAAGAAACTGAAGCTAGAAATGAAGCTGCAGCTTCATTGCCATTACCTCTTCCGAGTGTTGACAGGATCATTGTTTAGCAAATCCCTCAAGCAGGGCCCAGCCACCATGTAGTTTACCCAGGGCTGACTAAGCACTCGAGCTCTACTCATTCCTCCCCACCCCATACCTCACAGCAGTTTCCTATTAGCCTACTCCTCACTCTGGTTTAGGGGATTCCAATTTAAATTTTAGAGTGACTCAGGGGCTTCAGCAGAATAGCCTGTCGTGTGGGGAGTTGCCGAGTTAACGGTCGCTTTCCTTTCCCATTGCGGCAGAGGATCAAGCACTTAGGAAGCAGCTAACGCTGGACAGCTCTGTGCTTCCCCATCCTACCACTCCCTTGGAGGTAATGCATATGGACAACTATTACGGTTGATTTTCCTCTAAGTACATCAGAAATTATTAGTGTATGAGCTATCAGCTAGGGTCCGCCTGAAAATCCACTTGACAGCCAGGGGCAGGCTGGACTCCCATTTCAATTTTGACAAGCCACAATATGCAGAAAATGGAGTACAGCGCATGGAATAAAAGGGTTACATTCTGACTGTAGCTGTACAAATCAAAATGAAGGATGTTTGCATAATTCATGGTCTTTGTGATACGCACTTAATCCACTTCACATATTTGCCAGGTCTGGCATACAGCAAGGTGCATATCAAGCTACAAATCTCATCCTAGAGGCCAAAATAAACTGCCTAGGGTTGCACTACTATTTCTTTTTCACCACTTCTTGCTTCTTTCCAACCTATACACTTACTTTCTTATCAGCTTTGAGCTTGTTAAAGCAAGAACTTATTCCACCCTCCTCCAAGCTAATGACAGCACATCAGAGAATGTCAAAATCCTGTATTAGGCTTTATTCTTTTATATAAACATTAACATTTCTCAAACAGATTAGTTAAAAATACAGATTTAAACAAGAATTTCTGCAATTGCAATGAGTTATAAAAAACAACAGATTATTTTACAGATTGTTACAAGTGCTTTACAAAGGTGCAGAGTGAAGGCCAGTGGCAGGGGACCAACCTCAAGTGCAAAATGGACACGATACCCTCACCACGGGCATAGCGCTCAGATACACAGCCAAAAAAAAACAACAACAAACAAACCAAAAAACAGACAAACAAAAAAAACCCGAGCCATGTGAACCTATGCTCTTGGGATACTCACCGGGCAAGCAAACAAAGACCCCTATGACAGAGAAGACTCATGAGACCAAGCTACCAGGATACTTAAGGTTACATCTCTGAGATCAGCTATAAGATGTTGTTTCTTGGAAAGTAAGGAACATGTTTTACAACAGTATATTTCTCTTCTGTCAGACAAAATATTGCTGTAAATTCTAGAATACTTATGAATGTGGATACTTAAAAACTTGGGGCATAAATCCAGTGTGGATCTCACAATGCCCCAAGTGAAGAAAGGATACAAGACCAAAGTGTCCTTCTAAAGCAGTTGGCACTCCTCATACAGGAGGGACCTCCATATCCCATTATAATTCCTAAAACCTTGGAAAGACTTTGGCAAAAAGGAAGACAACACAAGTGGATCTGATTACACGCAATATTCCTGCAGCCCACGATCTGAGAGTTGTGCAGCCCATAGCTTACGCAATGCCCACATATTTCACTAAATGCAGTGTGTCCTCTCTCCTTGGCCAACACATCTTCACACCCACCTTGGAATACATACCACATGCTTCAGATTCTTGGAAGTTTTTGAGATCCTTCCACCACACCTACCTCACCTAGGTACCAGTCCTTCCCACCTTTCTTCTATTCCACCCCTAAAGATAAAAATCTATGCTCTGATCTGTTTTGAACTAAAGTTTTCCAGCTGTTAGCAAGTCAAAGGTAAATTGAACTGTCTGAGAACCATGAGATAAAACTGTGATGCATTATATAAAAAAAAGTCCACTACTTTATGCCTGACATCTTTCTGATGTACAAATGTTCCCTACCCAGAGAATCTCCCTGTTAGACAAAGGGCACTACATATTAGAGGAATCCTTTTTCCAAAGGAGGGCCAGAATAAAGGGCAGCTCTAGAAATGAAGTCTCATAATAAAGAAATAAAAGCTACTTCTCTTGGAATCATTGTAGAGGGCAGCACATTCAAGAGATTTTATTTATAGGAAACCCAGTGAAACCCATAGAACATCCACACTGACTTCCCTGAGCTTCTCAGATCCAGGTACACTGGGGACCCTGCAGAAGCCTTTCGAGCTGGGTTACTCTCAATAGAGAGCTTTTGGCAAGTTCCTGCAAATTCATTTTCATAATCAGTGAGAAGAGGATCAAAGGGCAAACCTTCAGCATATGCTTAGAGAAGAGAAAGACTCTGAAGAAAGAGGAGTTGGGGGGGCAGGAGGAAGTCTTCATTTCTACCGTTTTCAAATGTTTCACGTTATTCCTTTAGGGTATGGGCACTGCATCAAAACCAACCCCTCCATCTGATCTACCCCAGCTGCCTCCTGCATAGTCTCATGACAACATTGAAACCCCGGGCTCATCACTCCCTGCATGCCTAGCCCAGGGTTCAGTGCTTTGGAGAGGGGAGGCTGGCTTCTCATTAGCAAAGGCTGGGAGATGGCATTATGTCAGCACGTCAGCATTCTGGGAGCATGCGGTCACTCATGCACATCCCAGATTTCTGAGAGCAGAGGAGGGAGTTTCTTGTCCTGCAGCCGAAGGGCAAACACCTGCTCAGAGTGGACACTGCTTAGTGTCCTAAGACTGACCAGCTTCATTAACATCCGTGGAAACATCAGGCGGTCCTGCAGAGTCAGACAAATAGACAGCTGTTAGTAAATTCACACTAAAACTTTAAAAAAGAAAAAAAAATACCACAACAGATGATGTATTGTAACTATAAACATGATTTCCTCTAAACCCAGCATTCAACAGGAGGCTTCAGTGTAAAGGAACACAAATAGTACATCATGTCCCAAAACTCCGGACTTTCCATGCTGGCTAAACCATGGAACATGATATCAGACAGCAGGCTGTGACAGCTCACAAATCCTGCATTTCCAGCTGCTATCAAAGAGCCACAGAAGGGACAAGTATGACAGTACAGACAGCAAGAAACCTGTTACAAACAGTATGGCAGGAACTGTATCTGCATAAACACGAAATCAGTTCTCATCACTGCTGTACGTGTTGTGGTCAGGCACTTACATTTGGTCTGTTGATACAAATGTAAGAATGAAGGGCTTCCACATAGGTGTGCTGCAGCCTCTCCACCAAGGACTGGTCCTGCACATTCGGTCGGTCTGCCAAAAAGCAGGTTAGAATTAAGGAGATTGCCACAGGCAGTTTCAATGGACTTATCATCCCTGCCTAACTCAACTCCCTCATACAGTCTCTTCCCAAAACCTCATTAGCGTTCACCCAGCAAGGCTAGGAGGTATATCCATGAATGTAGCAGATATGTCAATTGTCTGTGAGTGTTCTTTCTCAGTGATGTCTACTGCACATGGGGTATCCAATCTGACTCCTCTAGAGGTGGAAGGTTAGAGATCAAACACACTTACATAGTGCTGTTTGATCTCACATTCCTGTCACAGAAGAAATGAGAAGCTGTCTATTCAAGAATGATTGGGAAAGTCTCTGCAGCAGGTGAGCCAGTTAGAAAACAAGAACAAAGAAAAAAAGTAATTAATCGTGCAGGTCACAAGACAGAAGAATGGAAGGAGCTTCTTGGCAAAGCTCTGTCCTGGCCCAGAGCAATATTGTCTCATGTCCACAGTATCTTCACTTGCCCACTAGATGTCACTCATGCTGTGGGACCTGCATCACACCAGAGAGATGCCAAGGACATTAAGGGGACAATTAAATAGCGATCTCTAAACAAGGAAGATAAATACTGACCGATTTTTCTATACTTTTCCAGCAGTGGGGAATTTTCTTTCTTCTAGAAGCAGCACTATAGAATTCAGAATATAATGAATAACACGCTCCCTTCCTCACTGAACTCTATATACCCTCTATTACTCCTCTTCTGCTTGTCACGTTCCTTAACTCTACTTTCTTTGCCCTCTGACTCACTACTGCAGCTCCTCAGATCTCCCTGGCTTTTTACCTGCAGAGAAAATGTTGATGGCAATTAAAAGTGCATATTCAGCATCGTTAAGCTGTAGCTCATTCATTCCCTTTGAGAACTCAAAGATGGGGTTAATGAACTCAAACTGCAGACCTGAAACAAACAGAAGAGAACAAGGTGAGGCAGTAACAATTGACTCCTTTCTCTCCCTCTCATGGAATAAGCTGCAAGAAACCCACTGCAGTACACCAGGGAGTGGGGAAGACAGGCAGGCAGGGAAAAAGCCTTACGTTATGTTCCAGTGAAACCTCCCTTTACATCCAGTACTGGTGAACACCAACAACAGTGGCTGAGGAGTGGGGTTCTACCTATAAAATTACGCTGTTTCTGGGTTTTCCTAGAGCCTTAAATGCCCCATGGCACATCACTAGGCAACAGCTAAAGGAACACAACATCATTTATCAGATAAGTCCATCAAAAAGTCAGAAGGCTACAAGTACAACATCTATACTTTCAACTCTGACACCATCACCTCCTTCACATCCAGTAGCTTTCAGCGAAAGCTTTAATACTGTGATCCAGATTCATCTGAAGTCTGTCTGAACTGAAAACTTACAGTTCCAAGAACTCTGAACACTGCCATTTCCTTCAGCTCAAAAAGTTGGGAGAGCTGAAGCAGAGCCTGACTTAGGCTTCCAATCACCTCCTTTGATAAATGCAGTCAGGCAGAAATGCACTGATATTTATTGCCATAACATACAGAGACCACTGTCAAACCAGGTCTTTTTGTGCAATGTAATCATGCTGAAAACTTCAGGCCTTTCCCCCAAAACAGCATCCAAGTTTTTAATTTCCTGCAGTACAGCTGCATCAGAAAAGAAGAAACAAAATGGAGGGAATCTTTCTGGCTGCCTAGTTTTTGCCTTCCTAATAACCTGAAAAAAAGGCTACCAGGAAGAGCGTTGAAAAGGAAAACTGCATATAAAAGCCATCTCAAGTATAAATGGTTAAAGAGTTACTCAAAGAATAATTAAAAAAAAAAATTACATGAATGACAGCTTAAGTCTTGCTTTTAGAAATGCTTAAGATACACTCTTCCTGTTACTTCATCTGAAATTACAGACACTCATAGTTCCTGAAAAAATAGACTTCAGAAATCACCCACCACAGACCAATATATATTGGGATGATGAAATATCTAAAGCAGTGTGTGGGGATCTTCAGTGCACAGTATAGACTTCATATTAAGTGAAATGTAATCACATTATTGTCCTCACTCGAGGTGTGTATCCAGATTAGCAAGTGATATGTACTTGCAAGGGTAAAGACTGTGGTTTGAAATGCTATGATCTGATACAGCTCTATGACCACATCACATCTCTACCAGCAAGGAAGTTCACATCAGCTGCTAGCCCTAGGTGGACATTTCCTACTAGATTTTCATCCTTTAAGAGTCCAAATTTTCCAAAGCAAGTTCACATATGGAAAAAGACATGAACTCAACTAGTATCACATATTAAAAGCAAAAAATATATGGCTTTTGGGGCTATTGGTCTGGTCCTCTTCTAAGCTTCTCATCTAATCCCACATACTATTTCCAGCAGTCCACATAAAAAAGGAAAATATGTAAGAACACAAGACACAGGGAAGGAAGAAACACCTGTCTAATGCACCACCTGCTTTGGCGAAGTCATCCCGATTATAGCTCAGGTCCTTAAGAAAGGTGATGCTCTCAATCTCTGGATTATAGCGCCGAGATGTCTCCAGCAACATCACCTGAAACCAGAAATAGATATACTTTATTTGAAAACAGGAAAGAAAACATCAATAATTCTCTGAGTGTTAAGAGCATATCTGAAAACAAAACAAAACAAAACAAAAAACCCCAAACAAAAACTCTCCAGTTTCTCTCAGTGTTTAAAAATTAGAAGATAAACTCTGCTGCATCCTTTGTGGTGTCTGTTTCTGGGAAAGGGGAAGTTCCTGCTTACCACTACCAAGGCCCTTGTCTCATTCTCCTCCATGACCCCTTGCCAGTATAACCTGGCACTGCAGTAATGGTCCCATAGCTGAGGTCCTTCAGTTCACCATCCCAAAAAAAGGGATGGAACTAGTTCTCCATGTGGGTAACTCTAAATTCTTTCATTTCTGCTACTATGTATTGTGGTGGAGCCAAACTCTCACCTCTATGGTAGATGTCTTCAGTAAAGCAATCTGATCTTCCCTGGTGAGCTCCAGGAAGCCAGGTAGTTGCTTGGCAAAATCCACAATCTCTTGCACAGAGATAATTGCAAGTTCTGTAAAGTGAGCGAAACGCTGCTGCCTCGCTTCACGGTTATTAGGGTCAGGAATCTGGGGCCATGGCTGTGGGAATGGGAAGAGACAGCATATATAAATATATATGGATATACAGAGACACTGAGAGAGAGAGATGTATGTGAAAGATTAAGTCAGGACAGAAAGATGAAAAGATTAAATGAACAAGGAAAGAAAATTAAACAACATCAGAACATCATCTTTTGCTATTCTTTACAGAGCTTTAGTCCACAGATGCAATGCCTGAACTATCTCTGTTCTCCCAAATATTTCACCCAAAACCCAGTCCCCCAAACTCCAATTTTTCTTTATTTTGGTAAACTTATAGATTTTTTTTTACCGTCACTTTGATCCTGTCTGTGAATGAGCGCTGGTTGCACTGCTGCTGAGCAGCCACAAGCTTTTTTATCATGTTCAGCTGTTCCGGCGTTAGCTTGTGGGAAGGGCTTGGCGGATTCGGAGGGTTTGGACGCACCACAACTGTCCGAGCCTGATCGTCTTCCTGCTTCTTCAGTTTCTTCAGTCGGATCTGTTCTTCAGACAGAACATCTAAAGCAGGAATAGCCTGTGATCAATCGTAGAAGCACACTGGAAACTACATAAACACAGGGTAATGTGCTGGAGATGGAGAGGTGGAGATCACAGTTGGCTGCCTGTATCTGGCATAGCAGAGCGTACACAACACAGCAGAGTGATAGTCATTTTTTTCTCCCTCTATTCCCACTTTAAGTTGTTCCATTACCTTTCTTCTAATCATACCATCATGCAAAGTGTTCACAAAGGGCAGAAGCTCCTTTCATGATGCCCTGCAGATCTCAGAAAAACAATAGTGACTTTCCCCATTGAGCAATTCCCTAAAACGTCATGTTATAACAGATTCCAGCAAGTGCTCCTTTCACATGCCATGGTGCGTCCACTGTATTTTATACTATCCTGCTGTTATGCCTTGTTCCAATATTGTTAATTTAACAGCTTGTGTCATTTCACCTTCCTCTTCAGAGGTCAGAGCCAGTCCTGGACGGAGTTTGAAAGTGAAAGGATAATTTGCTATACAGGCCATCTGCAGCAAACTGTAGAGCAGTAACATACTGCAAGATGAAGAGTGAAAGAATAGCTTTCCATAAAATGGACTGAGGACCAACCATGGGTCCTTCAGGAACAGGGCTAGAAGTCTTCTTCAGTCGTTAAGTCAAAGGAGATGTCATTTGGATGTAAAATTGTAAGGAACTGAGGCATCTGATTTATTGGGGGCTAATGGGGTCCATCTGTCACAGAAGGGGAAACACATCTTCACTCATAGGCTTGCCAACCTGTGAAGAGGGATTTGCACTAAAGTTGCCCAGGGAAGTGACATTTTATAGGGGGTCTGTTACAAGGTCACCTGACCAGGAAACTGAGTGGAACAGACCCTCTATAGACAGACAGGAGTGGCCTCACATTCACAAGCCCTGGTCTTTTGGGGAGATTTCAACTGCCCCAATATCTGTTGGAGAGACAACACAGCAGGGAATGAGCAATCCAGGAGATTCCTCCAGTGTGTTGATGATAACTGCCTTCTCCAAGTGATAGAGGAGCCAATGAGCAGAGGTGCTGTGATGGACCTTGCTCTCATCAAGGAGGGCCTGCTGGAGAATGTGAAGTTCAAGGGCAGCCTGGGCTGCAGGTGATCATGAAATGGTGAATTTCAAGATCCTTGGGGCAACAAGGAGGGAGCACTCACAGAAAGCTCACTGGCCTGGACTTCAGGAGAGCAGACTCTGGACTCTTCAAGGATCTGCTCAGTAAAGTACTACAGGATAAAATGCTGGAGGAAAGAGAAAGCCCAAGAAAGCTGTTTAATATTTAAGGATCATCTCCTCCAAGCTCAGGAGCAATACACCTCTAAATTGGAATGGCATGGATTTAACAGATGGATCGCTTGGTGGATAAGAGATTGGCTGGATGGTTGCATTCAAGAGTTGTGGTCAATGGTTCAATGTCCAAGTGGAAAGCACTGACGAGTGGCATTCCTCAGGGTTGGTACTGGGGATGTCTGTGTCAGTGACACGGACAGTGGGACTGAGCACACCCTGAGCAAGTTTGCCAACACCACCAAGCTGTGTGGTTGTGCTTTACACCCTGGATGGAAGGGATGCCATACAGAGAGACCTTGACAGGCTTGAAAGGTGGGCCTGTCGAACCTCATGAAGTTCAACAAGGACAAGTGCAAGATCCTGCATATTGGAGGCAGGGCAGAGACTGGATTGAAAGCAGCCCTAAGAACTGAGGATGATTCTGTGAACTGAAGAATTCACTGATGTGAATGCAGAGAAGGTTTGTTGTTTCTTTAAGCCAAAGCTGCAAAAACTATCTGAAAGCTACATCCAAAAAAATAAAAGGAAACTAGCAGGTATACCTGGATTCAAGGGTTATCTTCCAGAGAATCATCCTATGAGTTAATGATGAATAACAAGAAGTAGAAAAGGGACTGACTGGAAAAAACCCTCTGCATCGTCAAGATAAGTAAACAAAGCTTGACTTACGAACAAGATTTTAAAGGTACTGAAAGATTCTTTGGCCATTTTTTTATGCACAGGTAACAAGGACACATAGCTGCTATAGGAAAGCAGGGCCCAAAACTGGACAATTATATACTTGCGCTTCTTAAACGAATCATGTTAAATGTGAAGACAAGAACTGGAGAATTACTGTGAGAGAGTACTCTGGAATTGGAAGGACAGACAAAGAACATAACACATTCAAACTGAGAGGACCCTTTATCCCCGAATTCTAACAGAGAAGAGGTATGCACAGGTACATGCACACACAGAACTTACAATTCTAACAGCAAAGATATTTAATACAATAACCAAATTAAAGGGGATCTGTAAGATTAGAGAATGTTACTCACAGTGTTAGTTTAAGAAGGCAAATAATAATCCAAGTGATTACAGTCCCTCATCTTGGGACTCAGATGCACAAAAAATTTATAACTGGTAACTTGTTACTTGGCTATTACTGAATCTTGAAAACTGCCTATGTGCAACCTTCTGCATCATGATAAATTCAAAGCAATCTAACTTACTTGGTTTGCCAGGAAGGAACTATTTAACCTCATAGTTCACACTGGCTTACAAACAATAAACTGGCCATGAATAACTTCAGTCTGGGAATTAGAAGAATGCTTCCAGCAATTACTAGAAGGAAGTTCTGGAATGACCTTCCAAGTGAAACAGCTGGAGGAAAAAGCCCTCAGCTTCTGTCAAAATTAACACGGGCAAATTTGCAGTGGGGATTACAGCACTGACAAGAATTGCCAAGCTCTTAATAATAACACTTTTGAGCTAATTTTCCTGAGCTGTCTTCAACACAAGACAATGAGTAAATACAGAAACTGAGGCTCTCTCTATCTACCTGCAACAAAAGAGAATCAAAGTGAACAGGCAGTCTTACTACATCACTTTTCAAATATATCTGTTTTGTAGCTCTCAGGAACAGGGGCAAATGAGGTAAACACAGCATATGGTATGCAGATACAAACCAGTGAGACAGATACTGATGTGCTGTGTTTCGTGCTGGAAAAATCAAACAGCACATTTCCTTGGTGTAGCATTATTTTAAAAGATGTTTCTGAAATACCCCCTGTTCCTCACTGTTCTGGGTGCTGGATGTCAGAAAAGGAGACTTCACACAGATCTAACATGAATCAAGCACCCATTCAGTCAGTCTTGGCCACCAAAGGGATGAAACTTGGATGCCTTGGCCAAGGAGAGCTGTTCCTGACATGTGAGCAGAAACACTGGTGAATATTCAGGAACAACAGCCTTATGACTTGTGTGAGAAAAATAGCAGATTTCACTAAAGGGAGCAATGAGATCAGCTCTTGCACAAACACAGCTGCAGTACTGTGGTGCTGCCCTTGACCTCTGTCGCAAGCTCACAGTAGGAGGCAAAGGAAAGTGCCTGTTGTTCAAGGAGCATGGTGACCGATCTTGCAGTCCTGATCACAGGACAGACAGAAGCCTGAGTTTACTGATACACTCGACAGCATCCTGAAGAATGTGCGAGTCCTTCCTCTGCTCCCACAGTCCACAAGTTCTTACAAGGAATAAAGCAAAGCTGGGGCTCTCAGCACACCAGTGGTGTTCCACTAACAGCCTCACCTCTCCACGTGATCCCTGCTAAGCTCTCAGTGACTTCCCACACACATTCCAACACACAGTCTGCTTGGCTTACGTGTCCCCTCCTTCCCAAGCACTCACACTGCCCCCTGCTTTATACCCCCCGCCCCCCCAGGCCTGCTCCCACACGCCTCCTGTCCCAACACCACTATGCCCCCGTGCCCCATTTCCTGCACTCACACTGCTCCCTCATGCCCGCCTCCTGGCACTTGCGCAGCCGGCACTCCTGGCACTTGCGCCGCATGTACATGTCCATCTCGCACTTGCCGCCGTTCTTGCACACGTACTGCGCTCCCTTGATGACGCTGCGGCGGAAGAAGCCCTTGCAGCCTTCACAGCTCAGCACGTTGTAGTGGAAGCCAGAGGCCTTGTCCCCACACACGCTGCACACTTCATTTCCCAGCATCTTAGGGGCTGGGCCCTTCTTCCGCTTCAAGGGGGGATTTTCTGCTGAAATGAACGGTACCCAAAAAAAAAAAAAAAAAAAAAAAAAAAAAAAAAAAAAAAAAAAAAAAAGGAAAAAAACACCCCACACATGAAGGAAGCATGTTTGCAGCTGACTGCCACATTCCTTAAAAGAACCAATATCCTCACTCCCACCATCTCCCAAACACACGGATGAAAAGATCAAGTCTCCTGTTTCACACAGTCCCCTTCTGGACAAGCATGTCTTCTGTGACAAACGACTGACATAAGCCCCAAGGTTTCACCTCAAATATACCAACAAATATAGCTTCACACTTGTTCCTCTCCAAAACAGGATGGAAGAGCCAAAATATATTCCAGCCAAATGCTCTTCTGCACTTTCAGTTACAGTTAAGTTCCCAGTGTGAGAAAGACTTACAAAAAAGTTGAGCTGAAACCCAAAATTGTGCAGAAAAGTAGTTTCCTCAAAACTCACCTTCAGTTCTCCTATTCATGCACAAGAATAAGAGTTCATAGATCTAATTGTGACAAAAAAACATTGCTGAAACTGTGACCCTACAAAAGGCAGACTGAGTAGGCAATCCTCGTAACTGGAACACTTGGGGAAACCGTCGAGACAAAACACAGCACCTTATGGAGTGTACACACAGGCAAGCAGCACACTGCACAGGCTCTGTGAGCCTTTGGAACCCCAAAGCCAACATTTCTTCTTCAAGAAGAGTGCCCCCCACTCCTAAAACTGAAACACTCTCATAGTGACAGTTCATTTACTGAACCTTGTCATTCTATCTGAAACATAGGCCCTGCACTACTGCTTCACATTTCAGATGGTCTTATGCAGCAGCTCCAGCTCTTCCTACATCATTCTGACAGATCTTAAATATGCAGTGGCTCTGCATTCTGAAAACATCTTTGCTTTTCTACAATGCATCTTAAATTAAGCATTTCAGCCTACTAACTATCTCTCTTTTTATTCCATATAACTCTAGATAGGCCAACATCTAGCATTCTACACAGTTCACGGTGCAGGTATTTTTCTGTATGTCAGATATTAGAGATTCTTCTATGGCAGCTGCTCATAAAGATTACAAGCAACACATCTTGATAAGTCTCCAGATTATGCTTAGATATGCCTGGAAAGCCTTTACACTGGAATTAATGCATACAGACTGGTTTGCAGGACAAGGCTACTGCATTTCCTGATCAGCATCAGGTTTACAATAGAACATTTAATTTTTGTACTTACTGTTCTAATACTTCTAATCCTTACTCTCATTTACACCTACTATTCTGCTCAAGTTCCTGAAATGGTAAACCATTTTAAGTACGTCGCAGAAATTATTGTTAGTGTTCCTCACTACATATTAGTTTTCAGTCTTAAGTGTCTTGGTGTTGATTTTCAATCCCACTGACTTTACAGAGGCCTGGAGGTCACTCATTTCAGCCTGCACTTCTCACTGGACAGCTAGAAAATGTCATCAGAAAGGTCAAATTTCTGATATTCTCCTTTCTTGTTCGATTCACCCAATATATTACCAATTATTTCTCCTCACACAATATATTACCAAGAGGAAATTATGCAATGTCTACAATTATTTCAGATTATTTAGTATAAATATATGCAATGGCTAACCAGTAAAACAACTTTTCCAAAGCCTTAAGTGATCTTCATATGCTTCTGAGGAACAGCAGAGTAATCCAATGACTTCTACAGATGAATCTGTCCACCTTGTGAATTTCTTAGCTGCCTTTAAGTCATTACATAAACATCTAATTACCTTTTCTATGACTGGTTTATTGAGACAGGCTTATTCTTTGATCTGTGCAAATTATTTTCCATCTCTGAACACTAAGCATTTTAGTTATATAGCTGATTATTGTCATTTTCTGTAGTTAAAGATAATACAAAAATAGCGTAAGATATATCAAGCATGAACGCCATCGCTGAACCTTTAGCTCACATTAGGGTCCTCCTTTGGAAGATACCCTATTTAATAATTTTTTTCCACATTACAGGACTTTTTTCCTTGCCTTTTTGTAAGGAAACAATCTATCAGTTGCTTTCTTTTCCTGTCCTCAAATCTGGTTTAAGGACTTTTATTGGCTACTATATCACCTTTTAACTACTCCCTTTGTTTCTACTCTACTGACGAGTCCTCGTTCAATGTTCAGATTGCCTCTTTTTTTTATATCAGGGATTGCCAATTGCCTCACTGTTGAGTAAATACATTTATTTGTCATATTTTCATTAAGCTGCTGGCACTATGCACTTGTGCTTTCCTTTTTTTCCTGTTACTGGTCCAGAGATGCTAGATTAAGTCATCTTATAGTTTGAAAGTGTAGGACTGTAGCCATGAGCAGCGATTTTAACTACAAAATCTCCATTCTATTTCCTGATGCTCTTTAACCTCAGTTAACCTATGAAATATGTAGAAGAAACTTCTACTGTCTTCCCGTTATATAAAACTGCAAAAAATCTACCATTTCTTTGCACCACCTATCCTTGGTGGATTGTCACCTGTAGTAAAACTTTATTGCTCAGCAGCTTTTGATAAGGCTAGCAAAAATAAATTCATTTTACTGCCATGAACCTAGCCTCTAAAAGGTCAAATAAGCAAAATATTTATCACGTAGATAAACCCAGTTGTCTTCAACTATCAATAACTGATTCTATTCTTAGACATTATCTCTTAGTGCCTCAAGCACAGCAGAACTTGCCCTAACATTTTGCCAACTCTTAATTCTGCTTGCAGCTGAAAGAACAGATAGCCTTTAGCTTGCATGGATTTAGTAAGAATTTTTCCATACCTGCATGCTCAGGGGGGTTCTCTGAGCCAGGGAAGAGCGAAAGCCCTTCCTCCTCCATCTCAAATACACTTGCCACCCTCTTCCCATGATCCTGTGTGCTGAGTTGAGTGGGACCCATGGAGGCCACACAGGAAGGGCTCACTGTAATCTCATCGCTGCAGCATTGTTTCTGCCAAGCAAGGGGCCGTAGGCGTCTTTCTTCAAGGTCTTTAGTTTTTCTCTGCTACTCAAAGTCAGAAAGGAAGTACCTGTGGAAAAAACAAACAGATGCAAAAGAGGCAAGAGTTCAGCTATTGAGATATTAACTTCCAAAATCTATTAAGGGCTGCACCCCAAACGAGCTTCAAGATTTCATTTCCTTAATTAGCTTTGTTTTATCAATGTTTATACTCTTGAAACACAGTATTTGAACAAACTGTGGTAAAAGGTACAAGATTAGCACATCCAGGTGCAGAACTATCCTTTTATTGCCAAAAGATTTATCAAAGCATAAAAAGTCTTCACTACTGCTAACACCACGAGGACACTTCAGCCCTGACCTCTCCAAGTGTGTAAGAGGGAAATTCCAGTCTTTATAACCAGTGGTCTTTGTTAAAGCTTCTAATAACAAACAAATAGCTCATTGCTGCCAGCTGCCCTGGATTTTGTGGCATGTATTGCAGAGCATATGGAAAACTGTACAAGATAATTTTGATATAATTATTTAGCGGAGACTACAAACACTGAAGTGCCTTATTACTATCAATAGCCAAAGACTGTGAGAAAGATCAATGATGTATCAAAGATAAGATGACAAATCCTCCCTTCACTTACAGGAATGTGATAAGTAAAGGCACCGGTTTTTATTCCAAGCAAATTAAAATAAAAGGGAGGTACTAACAAAAAACTATTTCTGTATATTTACTAACTTCTAGGCATACCGTGGAGTCTGTGAGGTGAAAGGTCCTGTCTGGACCTAACACCAGGGAATCTTTTGCGGCCGGGAACAGGGAACAAATTATAAATGAAAATATATTTCTCTGTGCCATGTGGATACAGAGAGGCCCTCCAGGACTTGCAGCTGAGGATGATGCAAGACGCCCCTGTACAAGCCCAGGGGAGATAAGTTACAAAAAGGTAACACCCACCTCCAAAGCAGGGGAATTACCTTTTAAGGCAACAAACGGACAATGAATGAATATTCAACAACTGATATCGAGAGGGTACAAAAAGCCCAGTTTTCAAACAAGTTGTGTGTGTCTCGGGCGGGGCGCTGGCCCCCCAGACCACCCAGCGCTGTTTGCTTTATTATCGCTTGCTTAATAAATTTATCAATTTTTAATTGGAACTGAGTTGTCTAAATTCTTAAACTAACTTATAACAGGAAGAAATTGATAGCCAGCATCATACCTATAGCAAATGACCATGATGCCTCCCTCAGTAAACAGATTCACCACTAACCTACTGAGGATAGCCTTTTCTGGCACTTACAAACCCTACTGAAAAGCATCTTCATTATACAGCACAAACTCCACAACAGAAGTTGAAACTCCAGAGCGAATCCAATCACTTCTTCCAAAAATCCCCACCTGCACAGAAAAAGGCCCTACTGGTTTAACTACACAGACTCAGTGAAACTGATGCAAACTGTTAATGTAAACATCCCTAATCTGATTGAACATGCATTTGATCAGTTGATCTTAACTCAGTGATTTACCAATGCAAGCTAAAGAGATTAACTGATTTAAAAAGCAACTACGTGAAAGGCCTGTACCAGTTTAACTTGAGTGATTGAGCTCATGACTGGAAGCCTGTCACTCTCTGAAAGACAAGAGGTGACAGAAAGCTCTGCAGCAGCTCAGATACAAAAGTATCACATGAGGCATGCCTCACACACAGCAGTGCTGACCATCAAGAGGCAGAGCTTCTTCCCTCCTGGATATTTGGACCAGACCATGCAACTTTTCTTAGAATGCCAAAGACAAGGATGAAAGCAATGCTTCCGCAAACCAGCCCCCTCCCAGTACTCTAAAACAGTCATTAAGTATAAAAGCAAGTCATACTGTCAAGCCTGCTGAGCTCCTGCCATCTCCCATTACGCTGTGGATGCAGGTGTTAAAACCCACAGGGCACATTAATTCACGTGACCTTTGTAAATACAGCCTCAGACTGAATAAGCAATTCAGAGCTCCCTCCTCCCCTTTGGTGCATGCAGCCACTGAATTGTTGGAGAAAGAAAGAGACTATCTAGGATAAAAGTGACAGGAAATATGAAAGTTAAAGCCATATAAAGGAAGAAATCCTGTCGTGGGAGGCTACAAATGTGATTTGCAACCAATTCAAAGAGACTCATGGTTCTCAAAGGAACAACCAACTTTTTTTTTAAAGTCTCCCCAGAAAATCGTGCAGCAGTTGAAAATGTTGGAGAGGGGCACAGAACATCAGGTGGAGACAGAAACTTCTCTGAAACAAACCCAAACCCGACTCATATTCCCAGTCCTACGTAAGTTCCTCACTGATGCCAATATCAGATGTCTCTGGATATGTTTGGGCATGAAACAAGAAAGGTAAGCATACTGCCTCTCTGCATCTCCACATTCCTTTAAACCATGCAACAGACTCACTCAAAGATTAATTATTGTGCAGAATGAATCACCAGCAGCAGTACCACAGCAACTTTTCAAAGGAAGAGTTTGATCCCCCAGCTGAAGAACTGAGAGACAGTGCTCAGGCCCCACCACCTTCAGTTCAGTGACCCAATCTTACTGCATCCCAACCACAATGGCAATGTATTCCAGAAAGAAAAAAAAAAAAAACACCAAAAAAAAACCACAGGAGGGTACAGTTTGATGGAATTTCAAAACTGTGTGATCCACACAACCCTGACTGACATTGCAAGAGTGAAACTTGCTGTCAGCAAGACATCTGGAGCCCAAAGGAGTGTGTCTAAGGGACAGCAGACATCCTGAGAAGTCTGCAGCTACCAAGAGGGAAGGGAGTATAAATCCATGTGCACGTTCAGGACACAGCAAGGGGTAAGGCCTACCAGCCACTATCTTTGTGCTGTAAAACAAACCCATGTGCTCGTGCTTCATGCACCAGCCTCCAGCCTTCCCAAAACAGAATGGGCCTGATAGGAAAGGTTGTTTGTCTTCTCTGCTCCTACGACACAGCATCTTTTGGGTTTGTAGGTGCAGTAGCAGTTGCAGGCTGTGGAAAACTATTCTAACTACAAACAGCAGCACTCTGGTGCTAGGTAAAGAAACCCAAACTACCATTTTCCACACATGCACACAAATGAGAGGTTGTATGACTAAATCCAGGACTTAATTTTCACAGAAATGCATGAGGATTATTTTCAAGTGATGAGAATCTTGCCAAGTTTTGTACTAAGAATCCTGTTATCAGAGATTCACACCTCCCGATCTGCACGACCACTTCAACTAAAAATGCAGAAAGGTGATGCAAGCCATAACTGCAAGAGGGAACACTGTCTTCTTGACATAATCTGCTGTGCTGCCTCCCACTGTCTGTCTTAACTCCTTCGGTTTTAGAACCCAGGACTGGCCAAGTGACAAGAAATGAAGCAATCACTTCTAATGTAGAGTCTTGAACAGAGGAACCTAATGACCAGACATATTCCAATGAGGAAACACATGGAGATAAAAGGGTGAGGGAAGCAATTTTCTGCCAGCCCTTGCCACCCATGTATCAAATATGACACTAAACACTTCTGAAATGTGTCGCCACCAGCCTTGCCCTCTCCATTTCTTCCTTCTTCCCTTCTTTTCTGAGACAACTGAACAACTCAGACACTGATGGTCTCCAGATCATCACTCTTGCATCAGAAAGTACTGCTTTTTTCAGAGACTAAGGATGGCAGCCCTGGCTCTTGCACCTCATGCTAAATGCCATAAACATTCATCACTTCCTCCAGCAACAGTCTCATCCCATTCTCCCAGTTGGAGTCCTCTTCCAAGCCAGATGAAGCACTTATGCATTCTTCTGGAAGTCTTTGATCTGACCAGTCATCGACAGACACAAAGCTACAGAATATACCAAACTACTGTCCAGCATTCATTGAGGATAAGTAAAGGAGATAGCATTGAGTAGCACAGCACATGAAGAAACCAAATAAATCGATGTAGTTACTGTGACGCTTCTGCTAAACAGTGCTGTCCTCTCCCTGGTATTCCTTCTTTGGTGCCTTCTGTGAGAAGTTTAATGATCAGGAACCAGATCAGATGCAGGCATATCTCTGAAGAAACTGTACTATGGAACACAGGAATAATCAGAGGAATAGTACAGGGAGCCCTTTGCCTCCAAATACTGGATGTTCACATGAAACAGTAGATTTTTAGGAAGTTCGTTCAAGTCTCTGGGATCTTTCAAAACAAGATTTACTCATCACAGTCCTGACCCTATAAATTACAATATCCAACAGTGTTCTGCCAAGGGAAAAATATATGGCTATGTTTCAGTTCTGCAATGAGTCACAAGCATAAAGTTTTTGCTCTGCAGCACGTCAGCATCAGCAGAAGAAACTTTACATTTGTATATATATATTAACATGACTGTGCTTGCTGTGTGTCAACAGGACTGTGCCTTTGTGCGTAGGCCTAATGAGCTGTTGGCAAACAAATGCATCTGACAGGAAGGGCTATCTTTCAGAGGTAACCAAAGCAGGGATATAATTTGGTATTTTAGATTCTAAATGTATTCTAACCTGCAATAAAAGTACCAGCCCCCAATGTGAATCAACCTCTGAAAGCTGGGCCCATGGCAGCACATAATGGCCTCCAATGAAATCAACAACTTGCACAGCGATGGCACTGCCTTGGGTAATGAATGCTGCCTGCAGATCTAAATGGTCAAAAAAATAAAAAAACCACCCGTTGGACAGAGATTTTACAGGACACTACAGCACCAGCACAGAACTAAGTCCCTTGGGAGACAACACTGTTCCAATCCTCTCATAAGGAGTAAATATATTTTGTGGCCCAATGTTCTTCCGCTCCCGTGTCTGATGTAGCAGCCAGAGGATTTTCACAAATCTTTCCTAGGATCTCGGTACTACCTTGTAGCTGTCTCAGAGAAATAAAGATTACTCCCAGCTCATGTTGGCTCATTCTTCTTCGTTCCCTCTGCATCATCACATTTCTCTAGAAATGCTGGAACAGATAGAGGGGCTGTGAGCAGGGCAAAAGTACACATATATAACAAGTTTCAATTAGGAAAAAGTTGAAAGAGACACACCTTTCAAGACAGAAAAATAATCTGCCACTTTGAAAATTAGGTAATATTACATGGGAAAACTGTCAAAATTTATGAGAAAAAACCAATGACCTTCAAGTTGACAATGGGAGGGACAAAATATGAAAATGCAGGGTGTGCAAAGCAGTGCAACAGGAAACCATAAAGAATGATTTTGAACAGTATGTTTACAAAGAATGGAAAAAACAGCTCTACAACTCTCGGGGAACAGACTAGCTCTGTGCCCCTGC